GGAATCGGCTGTGGGAATGCGGATATCCCCTTTCAAAGCTCCGTTTCTGACAGCCGGCATGCTTATCTGCTCCGGGACAAAGCAACCGTTAGTGTGGAATGCTGCTTGCTGTGAGTGTGTGAGAGAGAGGCGGGGAGGAGAGGGGTCTGAACTTACAAGACAGCATGTTGATGCACTCTCAGGACCCCAAAAACCCACTCTCTCTCCCCCCCACATACACACAACACACTCCCTGTCACACCCCACCCCCCGCATTTGAAAAGCCTGTTGCAGCCACTTGCACGCTGGGATAGCTACCACAATGCACTGCTCTTTGTGGCGTTTCAAGAGCTGCTCATGTAGCCACGCCAGCGTGCTTCCAGCTGACAGTGTAAACACTCGCCAGCGTTTTCCCTGCTGCGGTCTCCGAAGACTGGTTTAACTCCCAATGCTCTACATCTGCAAGTGTAGCTAGGCCCTAGTACAGGGGTGGCCAACTTGAGCCTGAGAAGGAGCCAGAATTTACCAATGTACATTGCCGAAGAGCTACAGTAAGACGTTAGCAGCCCCCCATCAGCTTCCCTCCCCCCCACTCCCAGCACCTCCCACCCACCGGCAGCCCTGCTGATCAGCGCCTCCCCCTCCCGCCCCGCACCTCCCGATCAGCTGTTTTGTGGCGTGCAGGAGGCCCTGGGAGCAGGGGGGAGGAGCGAGGGCATGACAGGGGAGGGGGCGGGAAGGGGGAGAGGGGGGGCAGGGTCAGTGGCAGAGCCAGGGGTTGAACAGTGAGCACCCCCCCCCCGGCACATTGGAAAGTTGGCGCCTGTAGCTCCAGCCCTGGAGTCGGTGCCTATACAAGGAGCCGCATATTAACTTCTGAAGAGCCGCATGTGGCTCCGGAGCCACAGGTTGGCCACCCCTGCACTAATGTGTACAAGGGGTAAGAAACAGGTGGTGGAACACAAAGCCAGGCAAAAAACGGCATGGCGGGTTCCAACCTTTCCTCCTCGGAGGCTGCGAGGGATTTCAAAGGGAGCAAGAATCAAGTCCTTTATGGGTTGGGCTCATTATGACCAGGATACTCCCTGCGATTCCTGAGGTGAGATTTCAGAACCTCCTTGAAGGACAGGAGGGTTGTGGCTTAGTCCAGTGGCTCTCAAACTCGGGCTGCCGCTTGTTCAGGGGAAGCCCCTGGCGGGCCGAGCCGGTTTGTTTACCTGCCGCGTCCACAGGTTCGGCTGATCACAGCTCCCAGTGGCCGCGGTTCGCCACTCCAGGCCAATGGGGGCTGCGGGAAGTGGCGGCCAGTACGTCCCTCGGCCCACGCCGCTTCCTGCAGCTCCCATTGGCCTGGAGCGGCGAACCACGGCGATTGGGAGCCGCGATCGGCCGGACCTGCGGACGTGGCAGGTAAACAAACCGGCCCGGCCCGCCGGGGGCTTTCCCTGAACAAGCGGCGGCCCAAGTTTGAGAACCACTGGCTTAGTGGACATGAATAGTTTGGTTTTTTTTATTCTGACACAGTTAACCAGAGCCAGGTTAGACTGTGCTGGACATAAGGCACGCTGCCCATTGCCGCATAGTACTGAGGGAACCCTGCTCTAATAAACCATGGTCCAGAAGGCTGTGTACCTTTTCTTAATTAACCCAGCCCTGCCAGCGTTCCTGGAACTGGTGACTGAATAACTTTCCCGTTGTGTCAGGGTGAGCTCAGTGACGAGTCAGGCAAGGTGCTGGTCTGAGCCTTTGACATCATCCAACGCTGCTGAAATATTTTAAACACTCTTCCAGGCAGAGACGCCACCTTCTGACCCCCCCTGCGGTCGAAGAGATTACTTGGGCACTAATTACAAAGTGCTGCAATTACGTGCTGATCAAACCTCTCGGCTTTAAAGGAAAATGCCGTGGCACAGATTGGAGCTTGACTGACTGAATGGCTACAGCTGGGGCAGAGGTTAGGGATTAACTTGTGTTCGCACGTTACAAAAATAAAAAATACCACGCGCAGAAACGAACGACGCCAGGATTGCCCTGAAAATCAGCTGGCGGGAGAAATGTGTCGTTAGCTCTTTTTGCAGCTTGTCACCTTTGTGTGAAGCTGTTTGTGGAGAAGGAGGAGTGTTGTCCAGCAATTAGAGCAGGGGACGGGGAGTCAGGACTCCTGGGTTCCATTGCTGGTTTTACCACCGCCTCACTGCAAGTCGCTCAACCTGCAAGTGTCCCAGTTCACCCCACTATAAAATGGGCCTCATTGTTCCTACGGGCTGCAATGGTTTTTCATATGCTGTGACGCTTCCAGTCTAAACAACTTCAGGTTTAGAATAAGGGACCACGGTAAAAGGGTAAAAGCAGTGTCTCTGTGAGAGAGCACAGCCTGGGCTTCTCCTCTGTAACGTGCTGCATGAGCTGAGCTTCGCAAATGGCAACTGTCCCTGTGGGCAGGCAGACTCCTTGGCAATGTATAGACAGAACTGCGCCCATGCAGACTCCAGATATAGTTAAGAAAGGACACTGCTTGCACTGATGGAGCATATCCCTTGCTTGGAAACACTGTTAGCTGCCTTGGTGCAAATGGCAGCTTTCCTTGTCTACTCTGGAGGTGGGCAGGACATAGCTACATAGCTTGATGGCCCTCAATGGCTGAATTGGGGCTAATCCCAGACAAGGCCAGTGTGTGGAAAAGAGCAGAAGCCAGTTCATATGTTGCGTATGCGTGGGTGCGTACATGCTGTAGCTGGAGGTTTACATTCCCAGTCCAGGCAGATGTACATGTGCTAACCGCGATTAAGCTTGGACGCTACAAGTAGCAACATGACCAGGGCGGTGTGGCTAGCCAGGGCAGTGTGGCCATGGCCGCGTGGCTAGTCAGAGCAGTGTGGCCCTGGCGGTGTGGCTAGCCATAGCAGTGTGGCCAGAGCAGTGCAGCCAGAGCGGCATGGCTAGTCAGAGCAGCGTGGCCAGGGTGGCGTGGCTAGTCAGAGCAGCGTGACCAGAGCAGCGTGGCTAGTCAGAGCAGTGTGGCCAGAGCAGCGTGGCTAGCCAGAGAAGCGTGGCCAGAATGACGTGACTAGCCAGAGAAGCGTGGCCAGGGTAGCGTGGCTAGTCAGAGAAGCGTGGCCAGAGCGGCATGGCTAGCCAGAGCAGCGTGGCCAGAGTGGCGTGGCTAGCCAGAGCAGCGTGGCCGGGGCGGCATGGCTAGCCAGAGCA